TTAAAATTATAATATTTTTTAATTTGAAAAGAACGAATGTCTATGAAAAGTGCCAGTTACTTCTAATACTTACGTCTGCGGAAGCTCGAAGCTAAATGCATATTCATGCCTTCCTGAATGAATGGTGTTAAAGCCTTCTTCAGAATTATCATCATCTAAAACACAGAAAAAGCAAACAAAAAACCTGTTATCAAACCTTTACACACTCTTCATGGTGGCATATCTTTAAAGATGCTCATATAATAATAAGGTGGTAAGTTTTAGAGTCTGAGAGATACAAGTTCTAACTCAAACTTCACTTCTCTGGGTAAAATAAAAATTCCAGTTGCCTTCAGTTGCCTCATCAGTGACATGGAGATAGTATCTATACCCCGTAAGTATCCTTTACTGGAGAGTGACTTGAATTCTGTATCTAACAGAGTAATATGCTCAACTAAAGATTCAGATCTCAGGCTAACGTGTTATCTATGTCTTTATTCCCTTAAATTTATCATATTAAGACTACACACACACACAGAGACAAGGAATAAGAACTGTTCACGTAAACCTTTAAAAATGTCAGTTGATGCAAATGACGATGTTACAAGTATAAAATCATTAGAAAACTGTCAAATTGTTGTTGGAATTTAAACAAAGTGATTTTAATGCCAGTTTCATGGATAACAATGACAGTGTATCCTAGCAACATCCAAGTCTGTGTGTGTGTGTGTGTGTGTGTGTGTGTGTGTATATATCTCCGAAATTTAAAAGGTGCCTGATAACTGGACAACACTGCCCTATATCCTTGAGAAATGTAGTCTAGGATGTTTCCACTTACTTGTAAAAGTTGATTTTACAACCAACTGCTTTTGGTCATATTATTTTTTAAATGTCCCCAAAATACGTTAACTAAAAAAGGGGGAGGGGGTTCTGAATTTTAAAACATGATTTCTTTTTAAGGTTCTAACCAGGTCTTTTCTATGCAGTTTTCGCGGTATCATAATACCTTTGTCAAACTGGAATGATCATTTAACTTTCCCTCACCAAAGTAGTGAATATACACAAGAACTACGACTCTCCCCTCTTAAAAAAAAGGGGGGGGGAGCGCCTATGTATGGATACTTTTATCCCCAAACCTCGATTACTCCTTTTCACCTCAGTAACATTTTCCTCGTCCCCAGTGAAAAATCCTCTAAACGGATTTCAGCACCAAAAACTGGCTGGTGAGCGGAGGGCCATTTAAATTCGCTTCCCTCGAGAGCGCCCCAAGTTTGCCTCCCTTTCCCTTCTTCCCTTCTTGCTCCCTTTTTGTGCCAGCTCAGCAGTCTCATTGAGGCGAGCCACGGCAGCCGCGCCGTGGTAAACAAGTGCCGGGCTGTCAATCAAGAACTAGAACGGAGCAGGAGAGGACCGGCCTAAACCGGCACCAGCAGATCCCAGCCGGCCCGCCCGCGCGCCGCCGTCGCCCGCGCGCCCCGCTATACATACAGCATACGTCGCTGGCGCTCGCGCAGCCTACCCTGCTGGACCGGGGGCGGGGCGACCGTGCGGCGGCGCTTCCGCTTAACACGCCCCAGCCGGTGACCGGTTCTATCTGGCTTGGGCCACCCCAACACCTTTACAGTTGCGGTGAGAGACAGGGGCGGTGAAGGATTGGGGAAGGGCAAACGCTCAGGGAAACAATGAGTAGTGGAGTGAATACTCGCCAAGGCCTTCGCCCACCTTTAGATTTTAGGGTCACTTTTCCTTCCTAGCCAGCCTCTGGGCTCTCAGGTCAAATCAAGGTAGCGGATCTCCTACCTACGTAGTTCGGGAAATACGCTTTGTTTTAGCTAAGAAAAAACAAACGGGTCACAGAAGCTACCTGACGTCTTCCACTGGAAAAAATAGAAAAATGGGGTCCTGCGAATTCTATCCATGCAAGTTCCCACGGGATAGGATTGTCAGCTGAAGTTGCGCTGTGGTCCGTCCGGCACCTTAAGACCAGCAGGAGCTTATCCCATCTACTCTTTTGATGCCTGAAATCACTAATTGCGGGGCCCAAAACAGGCCGAGGTGATGAGGCGACGAACACCTCCAGAAACAGGGAGACAGAAGCAAGTTAGGGCGGGGGCGACCACTCTGGAGGGATCTTTACCGGCGCACGCCGGTTTCAAGCCTCGCCCCCATGGGCGCGACCCACTCTCCCCACCCGCCCGCGCCCAATCCAATCAGAGCCTGGCATCGCCTTAGCAACAGGCTAACAAACCGAGCTCCGCCTATCGCTGATCGCCCGGGGCGGGGTCTCACTCACCAGGCTAGTTTGAGAGGTCCCGGTTTAAAGTCATTGAAACTGTTCCAGGCTAAGATCTCGTCCATGCTTTGCAGGGGTTTGAGGGTTTTGTGTGTGTGTGTGTGTGGGGGGGGGGTGTTACAGGGCACATAGCTTGTTTTCATGGAAAATATGCTGCTCCGGAGATCATGGAGCAGCTAATAAAATTGCGTTTGTCCCTGTAAATCGTTATTCTACTTCTACCCCATTTCGAGTCTCAACTCATAAAAACCTTTGCTCTCATCATTTTAAAAAGACCTGCAATATCCAGAAAGGTTCAAACTCACTTTTCTGCTTTGGAAGACACACGACGATTGTCATTAGACATTAGCACTTCTTATCAGCATTATTGCTTGGTTGAGATTAACTAGGAGTTACTTCAGGATGTAAATTACTTATGTGTAACTGAAACCTAGTTAAATGACTTAATATTTTTAGAAAATGCATTAATGCTGTTAACTGACAGCATCCTTCATTTCTACACTTGCCTAAGGCTCAATTGGCACTCCTCAGGCATGTGTATATTTTAATATTAAAAACGAGGGTAAAAATCTATTCTACTCTTTGAAAAATAGTCCACATTTGAACTAAATATTGCATTAAAAAGGAGAAGTACAATATTACATAACCAGTTTTAACATTATATTCTTCTTGGTCTAGGAATTAAGTCATCGCCACCACCTGACGCGTGCAACCAATCTGCTGAGAGCTGAGCAAGCGCCCCTCCTCACCACCCCCCAGAACTGGTCCGAAACAGGATTGAACCGCTTCTAACAAAGGGTGGAAACTTAGAAAAACAAGCTTAGAGTCGTCTATATTTCCCCAATGTAACGATTTAAACAATAGATTTGAAATCTCGGGACCCCTTCAACGTCTGACAACCCCTTATCTTTTCAAACCAAAACTCAAATCCAATGTGCCAAATACTTTTCAATTTCATTTGACTAGCATCGGTTTCATTGAATGCATGTTTCAAAGTTAGGCATGATGCTCGAAAAGGAAAATTACTGACTGTGAATGGTTTCTAAAACTGATTTGTAACCTACCACAATGATAGAGAATGTCCTTATAAATTTCTTAAAGAACTGAAAATAGGGAAAAAACACGTGGGGTGTTGATACCATATGTCAAAATAAGGTACAGATACCCTTTATCAAAGAACAATGATCAATTCTTTAAAGTTTTATGTGTGTCAATGTTAAAAATGAAATACACCTATTAACCCACTTAAAAAATGTTAATCCATTACTTGACTGAATCTTAGATTTTAAGACCTAAGGTTGTAGAGTACAGACAAAAAAAAAAAATCTAACATTGGACTACAGCTTTTAGCAATTCAGTTGAAAACAGTAAAATTACTGAAACAGGTTTAAGCCGAATTTGTAAGTAAGGTGCAAATGGATGGCAAGTGCGTATGGCACATACCGAGCCGGCTATAGAGGTGGTTGAGTAAGTGCAGTTTGCAGTCACTTTGCAGATGCCTGCATGCATTACGACTTAACACACGATAAATGTCAAGGAGAATCAAAATCTTCCAAGTTTGCTAATCTTTTCTCAAACTGCTACGTGTATGCTAGGAATAGAATTATGTTAATTCAGAAAAAATTAAAAGGTACATTCCCAAAGAAAATAGTTTTTTTTATCATTTTTGAATGATATAAAAACTTACCTCTTTCATGTCCAATTAAGATGTCTTTATGGTTGAAATACTCTACTTCTTCAGTATAATTCTGCGTGTAGGCAGTATTGGAGCCGGCGTTTCTAGATTCGGTCCAGCGTACTTTTGCATGTCCTCTTGCATGAATTTTAAGAGATTTTACTCTGATTTCCCCAGTAACTTCTAAATTCACCCTTCCTGAGACTGTATCCCCACTAGAATACACAGGGACATTGCTGTCATTAAGACAGTCCAAGCTTATTGTCAAACTCTTCACCTTTCCCAGCACCATGTTTATAACAAAAATCTATAAAAATAAAATGTAAGACAAGTCAAGACCACATATAAAATGTGATCTTAACACCGATCGATGAATTTGCCGTGCAAAAAGCTTGCGGGCAAGATCAGTGATTCTTTACAAATAGTTCATTGAAATTTCTTAAAAAGTCAGGGCAGCAAAGAGGCTGCTGCTCCGCGGTCCTGCTAGTCTCAGTGGTCTCCTTACAAAGACGGCGACTGGATCTTGCCAGCTCACTTTAAATGCAGCTTTGTGAAAAACAACCCCACTGCGCATGCGCACGCCGCGGCTGCTGCCCGCCCTCCGGCGCCGGGCTCGCTCCCTAGCTCTCGGGTACAGTAGGTGCACAGCTTGGGGAAGAAGACTCTGGGGCTGCCGGGAGGCTGAACGCGACTTCTGTTCATTGTGGGCTCCTATTGGTAGTCAGGCTGCCGTAAATCCTCGACGTGCAGCCTGGAGCCCCTTACCAGCATACTCTATTTAAAGATAATGGCTCAGGGGCCCCTGGGGAGAAGGGTTGGGTAGGGAGCTGTTTGCAAAGCCTAGTAAGGATAAACTGCTGAGTGACTTGAACGAAGCGTCCTTTACTGTCACTGCAGGATTTTGACCAGGGCCTTGCTGGAAAAAGGAAAAAGTGATGTGCGAGGAGAGATGGGGGAAGGGGAATAACCGGTTGGACGAGAGACTGGTTGCTGACCATAAGCTAACGAATTTTAAAAAGAAACTTAATAAAACTAGACAAGAAATAATGTTTTCTGACAGGAGTTTTGCAGGCAGGGTGAAAACGACCTCAGCTGAGGGCAAAGGAACTTCAAGAGAGAATACTATAAAGACCAAGGAAGAGAACCAACCATAATTGAATCAGTAGGTTTTGCTTTCTCTTCAACTGCTTTCTTTTCTCATCTCTTAATTAGATAGCAACGAAAACAACCAAGTTGTTTGTGTGATGTTACTAAGGGGCAAAAGGCTTGACCACTTCCTCGAAGGAAGAAAAAGTTCTTTTTTAAGACACCACCTATTCAGCTAGATTCGTAGGGTATGATGTGATTATAATTCCTGTGTCCAGAGGATTAAGAATAGAGTTAAGCCATAAAAAGTATCACCTTATAAAAGAAAGCATGACCTAGTGCTTTAGCTGACATAATGTTTACAAGATAAGAAAATCTTTGTTGGAAATTAGTGAAGAGCTTAACATGTTTTTTTTTTAATACATGATTTGATATATAAATAGGGCTTAATTCTATAAAGCTATAGTTTTAATTTTCAGTCTTGGACTGTTCAACATAATTCCAATATATCTTGGAGGTAGGTACATTTGTGTCTTTATTGTGGAAGTTTTCGTAACATAGCAATACTTGCATAAAACCACACTGAGATGCAAAGCATAACAGCATACATTTATCTTTTTTTTTTTTGCCATCAACAAATCTGCTAATAAGAGATATAGAAAGAAAAAATTTGAATCTGGAGCCATATATATATATATCTCCAAATATACTTTGAAGAGTTTTGACTGTCCATGTCTAAAACACTGTAGATTTTTTTGCCATATATTTAGATAGGTTGAACCTATGAGTCACAATAAACTAAACTCATTGGGCTTACTGTTTTTCTTTTCGGGAAGAAATGAAATTTTATTTAGTTGGATTTTAGTTGACAAGGCAATATCTTGGACTCAATAGTATTATACGATGGTTTAAATAAGCAAAATATTTGGACAGTTAATGGGCAGGGCATTTATCTCTGATAGTTTAGATGGTTGTACATGAAAGTATGAATTTGTGTATGTGAGTGGAGAAAATAGTCTCTTTTTCCCCTCTTGGTTGACACCTGGTGGAAATTCTGGTTCAGACACTTAAAGATCTTGTACTAGTTTTGGTAACAGATACTACTTGGGTTTTTTCGCCACCTAGTGGTAAACGTGGTGAATTTGCTAAAATGTCAGCTTCTCAGTATTAAAGTCAAATGGTATTAAGCATTCCAATGACACTAGGCAAGGAAGGATTTAACAGTGTAGTACACAATGAGGTCTTTGTTGCTAAATTTGTTTTAAATTATTAAGAGTAAGCGAACTATGGCTAAGTTCTTCAGAATTTTTGGTAAAATTTCTTCAGTTGAAATACAACATTTGTGAAAAAATAAGAATCAGCTGTTTAAATAAACTAGAATTGCATTTAACCAAAAAGAATCCTAAGGGGTTTATTTGTAGGTTGGAATAACAAAATTGTTTTAGCACAATTAAATTAAATTTATTTGTAGGTTGGAATAACAAAATTGTTTCAGCACATTAAATCACTCCTGTCACTATCTTACATTATTCTTTCTGTTTGAAGCTTTTAGGATATCACAAATCATTATCTTTATTATTTAATTTGCTATTTTTCCTTATTGTCTTTTTACTGTGTCTTTCTAAACACTTTTAGTAAATGACAAGTTGCCAAGGATTTTTTTTATCCCCTATCGTGTTTCCTTACAATCATACTCACTCTAATTATTACCTTTCTTCTCTTTGAATTCAGTTATGCGACTCGACTTTAAGTTTATAAACTCGAGTTTATTTCATTTTATTTTCTTCCTACTTATTCAAATGATGAAAACACCACTAACAAATAACAAACAACTTTGGCGTTTCTAAAGTCTTTGTTTATGTTTTTATTTCTGAAATAAAATGATTAAATTTTGAATGTTTTCTCTTGTGAGTTTTATAATCTTCCCTTTAAAGACTCTTATCTATATTGTCTAAATATCTATCCTTTAGGCAGCTTGACATGCTGTACTGCAGCTGTTTGTTATCTTGGGCTTCTGGACTTGCTTCACTGGGCCCTTACTGTAGTTTGCATTAAATTTAAGCTATTTATCTTTACTACCAAGGATCTTTCCTTCTGCACCCCAGCCTATCTCATATGCCACTTCCTCCTACTCATCTGCTAACTCTTTATACTACTGTCAAGTACATCTTCTGTCCCCTTTGTTAGCTTGTCTCACTGTTGCTAATGTGCAGTTACATGCTGCTTTCTGTGCCCAAAACAACATCTCACTGCTGTGTCATCTCCTTTCCCTTCTTCTAACCCCTCCACCAGATTCAGATGATGCAATTTATAATTCCGACTGGATGGAATAACAAGTCCTCCTCTTCTTTCTATAGCATTTTCAGACTTTAAAAAAGAAATCTCTTTTTATGGTATTTGGTACCTGGATTTTTAATTCAACGATTGTTCTGCTGCCAAGTCTGGAGTTTGTCACCAGTTATGTCAAAATACTCAATTGTTATTAAAAAGAAAAAAGGAAGTCATCTCAACTGCTAAGTGTTGGTGTATAGTTGAAAGAAAAACCATATTAACAGTCAGAACCTGTTTCTTTTCTATTTTTTATTTGTAGTTTTTTAACCTTCACCTGAGGATATGTTTTTATTGATTTTAGAGAGAGAAGGTGAGAGAGACAGAGAAACATTGAAGTGAGAGAGAAACATCTGTCTTGGTTGCCTCCTGTACATGCCCTACTGAGCCTGGAACCAGCAATCTAGGTATGTGTTCTGACCAGGAATTGAACCTTCAACCTTTTGCTGTACGGGACGATGCTCCAACCAACTGAGTTACTTGGCTAGAGCCAGAACCTGTTTCTTAAGTAAAAATGTGAAATCCATGACTAATTCTTATTTTAACTAACACCAGACAGGTTTGAGTGCTATTGAAGTAAAGGAAGTTTTTTTGTTTTTTTAAGTCTTTGTTCTATATTTCAGGATTTTATAACTCTGACTTGACTCTTTGATATCATCAGAATGCAACAAATTTGACTTTGGTGTGGAGACTGAAGATAAGACTTGCTATGCTTTTAGCAAAATGAGTAAGACTTGTTTTTTATATTTGATAGTTAATTATATACATTTGTGGCATTCTTCATACTTAATAGACATTTAAATGTGTTGTGGATTTCATGAGAAAATTCAGTACCAAATTTGGTTCTGTTCTTCCTCATTAAAAAATGGTGTGATATGTGTCATTTGAGCATCATTTAATCTTTTATTTAATCTTATATTGGTTTAAAGTAAAATCATCTATAATTCTACTATCCATCCAGGGATATAGCACTGTCAACATTTGGGTGCATTTACATCTAGATGTATAACTAAGAAACAAGGGCACTGCCAGTTAAACTATGGCAATGCTTTTTATCATGAGAATTCATTGACTATAGATTTGATTAGAGCTCCCAAGGGATAGTCTCTTGAATGGATTTGTAATACTTAGGGCCTGCTAACTTAGATGAATTGGTAAAATGTATTCATTCTGGCTCAAGTGGCACTGGGCCTGTAAGAATTGGAAATGCTAAATTTCTGTTTGGAACTATTTTATGAATTTTGACCAAGCGCAACTTTATGTAACAAGGGTAAGAGCATTCTAATTATAATAACTAATATCTTTTCGATGGACATTGAATTTGAGTGGCAAAGTACAGTTGAAAGGAACCAATTGTCAGTTTTTTACATCAAATTCATATTTGGTTAACTGGAATTTTATATTCTGTATCTTACTCGGAGAATGTTGTCGCTCTACTCATCTGGAGAAAATTATTATAAATGATTTTAAAAAACCCAAACTTGTTGTTTACTGCTACTATCTTCTCAATACTGTTTAATGAAAGCACTTTTCAAGGGTCTTCCCCCTAAGGTTGTTAGTTTTATTTGCTGTTGTTAATTATTATCCTTATGTTATACTAATTTAAAAATTGTAAGAGAGAATTATTGCTTCTCACCTATCTGTAATCAGCTCAGTTTTTATATTACTGTCTTTCCTGTTGGGAAATTTTACTTGCTATCACATTGAAGAAGTAGTAATGATGAAGAAATGCTGTAAGGAAGAAGGACAAATTTAAAAGTTTGTTGAGGACTCACTGCCTCCAGAATTTTTAAGTGTTTCAAATGAACTTTTATTTCAGGTTAGGTGATGACTAAAACTTAAAATCACACATTTAATCTATGGTCCAGTAAATTCACATTTGGATGATTAGTAATTGGTTTTATACTTGTTGTTTAGCATAAACATTTCTTTAGTTCATGTATAAACTACTTTAGTATATTTTATTGAAAACATGAAGCAATGTAAATTTTCTGCTTCAAACTCATATAACATTTTCATAGTTACATATGAGTTTCAAATTATTTTGCTGTAGAGAATCTGATAGAAATTCTAGGCATGCATTTAGTGTATTATCTTACATGCTATACTAAACAAAGGAGCTCTGTGATAAAATTATATAAGTAAAAAAAGTAAAACATGATAGTTAAACTTAGAGAAAGAGTGTGTTCAGTGAGTGGAAATGCACAATCACATAATTTAAAATTTTCACTTTGAGAAGCTGGAATTCTTAGCTTAAATTTTATAAAAGAGACACACTATAAGATGAACAGATAGAAAATACCTACATATTTTTCTTAAAAATTATGAGACTTAAAAGAACTTTAAATGTACTATACACTGTGTTCAGTCTGTCAGTGTGAAGCCCATTATTAATTAGTTGAATTCTTATTCTTTTTTACAATAGGGCTATTTTCTACTAAACAATGTTTAGTTATTAATAAACAACTACTTAATTGATAGAAAACATTGTTTTCCATAAATGTATACACTTGGTCCTCATTGTTTTAGAATGTTTAAATATATTTTCTTATAATACACTATGGTTGCTATGCAGTATATATGTACAATTTGCTGTGGGGATTTCATGTATTTACTCACAAGGGCAGAGAGTAAAGAAATATTCCTTGCCTGGGCAGTGCTAATAGTTCCTAGTATTACCTCATTTCCCAGAAGATAACTTCCTGTAAGAACATTTTTTTTAAAGAAATAAAATTAAAAAGAGCTCTTATGGTGGGACTTGTTATATATTTGTGTTAAGATGAAGCAAAATTTGACTCTCCCCACTTGATTAATAGGGTACATAAAACAAAATCAGAAGGTTAGATATGGGAAGAAGACAATGTTAAGGAGCGCTAGAGAGAAAAATACATTTGACTTTTTACATAATTTTTAAAACATAAAATGATGAAGATGGTGGGCTAAGCTCTTTACATGCTTTAGATCATTTGATCTGAACAATAATGAAATTATCTTCCTTTTGAGATGAGGAAACTAAGGCCTAGAAAGGTTGAGTAACTTGTTCAAGGTTACACCCTAAGTGACAGTTTACCTTTTCAGAATTTATAGTTTAAGAGGGAATGTAAACAAATAGTTCCAATAGAGATTTGTATGCAATAGATAAATATTACCAATTGTATTAGTATAATGTTAGGGGACATCTAGGAAACTTAATAAATCCTGGTACAGTGCTCAGGCTGAGCCTTTCCAGACGAGTTCACTAGACAGGAAAGGGAAATTGGGGAAATTCTAAATAATTAATCTAGACCAGTTAATAGAGGCCAGGTTACTGGAACCTTATAGCTAGCCAAAACATACAATTGATTATTGTAGTTGGGACACTTGAGAGTGAAAAAGATGCTAATAATAACCATGTTGGTACAATAGACATAAGCAAAAACTGTCTGGGCAAACTAAGATGTATGGCAAAGTAAGAAGTTTAGACTTTATTCTAGTAGCAATCAAGAATGCCGAAGGGATTTTAAGGGGAATAACATGATCAGATCTGTGCTTGAGAATAACTCAAACTGATGTGTGGAAGATGGTTGGAGGAGAGTTGGAGATTAAAATAGGAGGCTGTTTCAGGCACACAGGATAATGATATGGTGGCCAGAATTGTATTGTATCAGAGAAGCTAGAAAGAAATGGGTAAGTTCAAGAGATATTGAGGATGTAGAATCAATAGAGTGTGGTGTGTAATTAGATATGAGTACAGAGGGAGACATTAATTAGATGTATATTGTAGTAGGGGGAAGTGGTGTCAAAGATACTGGATTTCTGACCTAGGCAACCTGATGTGTAAGTGTTAGAGTCACTCATTGAGATGAGGAACATGGGGAAGGAGTGAGGATGATGATAAATTTATATTTGTTCAGCTTTATATTTATTCATTTTTATATATTTGAAACAAAAATTTATAGAAAATCTGTAGGCACAGTATGCAGCTTTTTTTTCCCTGACCCATTTGAAAATAATTTGCCAGTATGATGCTCTACCACCTTGAATACTTCTTTGCTGCATATTACTTACAGATAAGGACAGTTGCCTACATAACCATAAAACAACCATGAAAATCAAGTCATTAACATTACATTGCTACCATCTAATCCTTAAATCCCAATCAAGTTTCACCCATTGTCTCAATAGTGTCCTTAAAGGAAATGAATATAGTTCAGAATCATCTGTTAGTCTCCTTCAACTGGGAGCAACAATATAATCTTTTATGACTTGGACAGTTTGAAGGTCACAGACCAGTTATTTAATGGAATGTACCTCTGGGAGTTTTCTAACCAGGATTTTGGGAAAGAATTAAGCCCTAACATCCTTCAGCATTTATTAAATGAACAAATTAACTTCTTTCAATATCTAAAATGATATTATTTATGTAACATTCTTGAAAGAGTTGAGAAAATAGTCACTGTGTTCTGTTTTTCCATTCAAAAAGACAATTATTGGATTTTGAGAGGAATATCTTGAAAGTAGTCCTGTTTTATTCTCAGTGAATCATGTCATGTGACACACAATTTTAATTTGTCCTATATCATTGGTCATTTGAATAAGGATGTGTCTATCAGGATTCTCAGACATTAAGTTACTTTTTATCCCTTGTTAATTAGTAAATATTTTGTAGGGAAGTTCTTTGAGACTTCTCAAATATCCCATTCCTCATTAAAGTTTTTGTTTTTGAATTAATTAATTATACTATTGATTATTATGAACCTTAATTCATTACTATCATTATTTATCTTAATGTTCAAACTGTATTTTAGCTACTAGAAGCCCCTTCTATGTGGCTTGTATGTTTTCTTGGTGTGTCTCCATCACTTTTTTAAAAATTATATTTTATTGATTATGCTATTACAGTTGTCCCAATTTTTCCCCTTTATCCTCCCTCCACCCAGCACCCCACACTGCTTTAGGCAATCCTGTCGCCATTGTTCATGCCCATTGGTCATATGTATAAGTTCTTTGGCTACTCCATTTCCTATACTAGACTTTACATCCCCATGGCTATTCTGTGATTTGTACTCTTTAATCCCCTCAACTCTTCACCCATTTCCCCACAGCCCCTTCCAACTGGCAATCATCAGAATGCTCTCTATTTCCATGATTCTGGACCTGTTCTTTTTGCTTAGTTCGTTTTTTTCAGATTCAAATGTTGATGTGTATTTATTGCCATTTTATTGTTCATAGTTTTGATCTTAGGCTTCTTGTTGTTTTTTTTTAAGATTTTATTTATTTATTTTAGATAAATATTTTAGATATTTTATTTATTTTAGAGGGGAAGAAAGGGAGAAAGAGAGGGAGAGAAACATCAGTGTGTAGTTGCCTCTTGCATGCCCCACACTGGGCACCTGCCTGGCAACCCAGGCATGTGCTCTAACTGGGAATTGAACTGGCAACCCTTTGGTTTGCAGGCCAGCGCTCAATCCACTGAGCCATACCAGCCAAGGCTGCTGCTTGTTCTTAAGTAGGTCCCTTTAACATATCATATAATAATGGTTTGGTGATGATGAACTCCTTTAGTTTTTTCTTGTCTGGGTAGCTTTTCATCCGCCCTTTGATTCTAAATGATAGCTTTGCTGGGTAGAGAAATCTTGCCTGTAGATCCCTGCTTTTTCATGATTTTGAAGATGTCTTACCATTCCCTTCCAGCCTGCAAAGTTTCTTTTGAGAAGTCAGCTGACAGTCTTATGGGAACTCCCCTGCAGGTATCTATCTTCTTTTCTCTGGATACTTTTAAGATTCTCTCTTTATGTTTAACACTTGGCATTTTAAATATGATATGTATTGGAATGGGCCTCTTTGCATCTATCTTTTTGGGACTCTCTGTGCTTCCTGCACTTGCATGTCTATTTCCTTTACCAAATTAGGGAAGTTTTCTTTCATTATTTTTTCAAACAGATTTCCAATTTCTTGCTCTTTCTCTTCTTCTTCTGCCACCTCTATGATGTGAATGTTGGATGGCTTGAAGTTGTTCCAGAGGCCACTTATACTATTCTCATTTTTTTGGATTCTTTTTTCTTCTTCTTGTTCTGATTGGTTGTTTTTTGCTTCCTTATATTCCAAATCATTGATTTGATTCTTGGCCTCATCCGCTCTACTGTTTTTTCCTTATAAATTATTCTCTATTTTAATGAACACCATAGATATTTTCTATGGTATACCCTTCATTTGTTACTGGATTTTTTTATGCTGTTGAGATCCTTGATAAGTTCCTTGAGCATCCTTATAACCAATGTTTTGAACTCTGCATTCTGATAGATTGCTTATCTCCATTTCATTTAGCTCTTTTTCTAGAATTTTATCCTGTTCTTTCACTTGAGCCGTGTTTCTTTGTCCTTTAATTTTGAAGCCTCCCTGTTTGTTTCTATGTATTAGGCAGAGCTGCTATGAGTCCCTCTTTTGGTAGTGTGGCCTAATATAGTAGGTGTCCTGTAGGGTCCAGTGGCACATCCTCTGCTGTCATCCAAGCTGAGTACTTGAGGTGAAGCCTTCCTGTGGGCTGAATATACCCTCTTCTTGTAGTTGAGCTTTGATTGCTGTTGGCAGGTCAATGGGAGGGATTTACCCAGGCCAGTCAGTTGCAAGGACTGGCTGTGACCACTCACCACCAAGTTCTGCCCTCCGTGGAAGATCAGCTGTGCAGTGGCAGGGTGGTGCTGCTCTGATGTGGTCTGTAGCAATCCACTGGGTGCACAGCCCTAGGGTTTCCTGGGTGGTGCAGGCCAAGGTCAGCCCCCACATGTGTTCTGCCCAGGGCTACCCTGCATGAGCTATAAAGCAATCTGAGATGGTTGCTACTTGTGTAGGGCTTGGAGATTCCCAGGTGAAGCCAAGCTGTGAATCTAGGCTGGCTGCCTTGAGTGCTGGGCCTGGGGCCACTTAGCAAGTGGTATGGTGTGTGTGTGGGGGGCTCATGGTCACTGTGGTTGACTGTTGCTTGTTTGAGAGGATATAGGAAGTTGTGAAGCATGAGCCAAGACCAACCATTCATATGGAAAGCCACTTTTAACAGCTTGGGTGGGCCTGTAAGTGGGGTGGGATGGATTCTCAGGGGATCTCCAGGGCAGGACAAACAGTGTTAGCCAGATTGATGGAATCTCAGATGTGGCACCTGCCTACTAGCTCTGTGGCTCTGTGGTGGGAAGGTTCAGAAAAGGGACAGTGTTCTCTGCCTGCCTTTCTGTCTGGATGAAAGCTGATCCCCAGCTCTCAACTTGATGCCAGACACTTCAGTTGCTCTCTTTATGCCACTGGTGCCTTTCAAGCTACAGCCAGGTGTTGGAACTCAGAGGAAATGAGTCTGAGTAAGTGTGTATAATGGGTTATTTAAGAGGAACTGCTTGGGACTATAAAAGCTTCTTCTACTGACTCAAATCCCATTGATTTTTGAAGCCAGAAGTTATGGGGACTTTTCTTCCTGGCACTGCAACCCTGGGCTCAGGGGCCTGGTGTGGGGCTGGGACTCCTCACTCCTGAAATATCCCTCCTGAATTTTTATCCACCACATGTGAATGTGTGACCAGCCTGTTCTGTGTCTCTGCCCCTCCTACCAGTCTGGATGGTTGTGGTTTCATTAATTCTATAGTTGTCTGACTTCCATTCAACTCTATTTCTGATGGTTCTAGGTGATGGTTGGTCTATAGGTTAGTTGTAATTTTGATGTGGTTGTGCGAGGAGGTGAGTGGTATTTATCTATGCCTTCATCTTAACTGGAAGTCCTCCATTACTTTTTGACTTTTTTTTCCTGGTACAAGATACCAACAAATTCATCTAATATTTTCCCTGCCTGAGGCCTGGAATCAGCCATTTTACCTCTGAGTATTTGTAGAGGAGAGTAACTTTTAGAATTCAAGATCTGGGCATTAGGTGTGCTCTTTGCTTTTGGAGTATAGTGCTTCAAGGATTTCTCAGTGGAGAGAACTAGGATAATATATACACACATTTCCTTCCTCCCTCCCTCCTTCCCTCCCTTCCTCCCTCTCTTTCTCATCTATATATTTATCTATCGATCTATCATCTATCTAGTCATGAGTGTACACTAATACCATGAGTTCTAGTCCAGCATCTCAGTACCTCAGTGTTCTGATTATCTTCCTTTACATATATGTAACCCTCTTTTTTGACACTGAGAAACCTGGCTCCCATTGGCCTTAATCTATGTAGTTATTTGATCAATCTCCTTGTGTGGAATCAATCTCTTCTCTCTATTGCTGTCCTTTCTTTTAGGTAGATGCAGTTTTCCTCTAAGCAGGCTCTGCTACCCACATCAAACTGTCCTTCTACATGGACGTATTCTCACCTTACTCAGGCTTGGCCTCTCCTGAGCTTTGTGAGATGCCTTCTGCACCTGTACCAGGTTGGCTCTGACTCTCATGCTGCTTCCACATCCCCTGCCCCTGCCCCTTTTTCCACAAGTAGAGTAGGTATACAACTATTTCAATTTAGTTTTGAATGAGGAAAGAAAAGCCAGAAGCTAAAAGGAGACTCATTCAGGAAAGAATTGTTTTTGATAAGGTACCAATCTAGAAGTTGAGGTTAAAGATATGAAAGGGACAGAGGTAATTGATAGAGCTACTTCTCTCAAGGATAGAAAGGATTGGATCTAGAGTGAAATCCTGAGGATTACATTTAAGCACAAAGGTCACATTCCACTTTAATAGAGAGAGGGAGGGAAGAACGGGTTTAATACAGGTTGGTTTGAAACTTTCCTGGCAGGAAAGTGAATTTCCATCCTATGGATCTTGCTTTCTCTGTGCAGATATTGCTGAGAAAGAGTGATTTAGGTAGAGATTTGAGGAAAGTGGAGAGTTCTGAAATCACTGTAGAGAATGAGAAAGTGAAATGAGAAAGAACCCAGGAAGAATTCTGAGAGATAGGGAAGATCTGAGAATAGAAACTGAAAATCAGTTGAGACACTAACCTAAATAGTTAGTGTTTTCTCCAGCAGCCCCAGTGCTAGGAGTGGAAAAGGCAGTTTTTATCAGGCAAACAGTTAAATATAAAGGCATGGTAAAGTAAAGTGAGGATTTAGCTAGGTAGGGATTGAAATGAAGGAATGAATGAATGTTGAATTTGTAAAGTTTGAAGTGAATAGTTCTTTTTTTAAATACAAGAAAATATTTGTACTTGTATAACAAAGACTTGTCCTCCCTGTCCTCCTACTCCTCCTCTAAAAGAATTGTTAAAAATCCTTATCCAAGGATATGTTTTATTGAATTGAGGGGGGATATCGATGGGAGAGAAACAGCAATTGATTGCCTCTGTATGTGCTGTGACCAGGGATCAAACCCGAAACCTAGGTATGTGTCTTGACTGGAAATCAAATCTGCAACCTTTTGGTGTATGGGACAATGCTCCAACCAACTGAGCCACCCACCCAGGGCTCCTCCTTCTCCTTCTTCAACTTTAATTTTAACCTTAGGTTATTTTGGCCTTCTTTTTAATTACTTCATCCTTTTGATGTACCTGTTCTATCTTGCATATTTTAGGACAGGTTGGCAGTGTGGAGTCTTCTATGAATGTGGTGCAATGACCAGTGAGGCAGCAAAGGGGAAAAGTGGTTACAAGGTAATAGATTGATTTGAAAATCATGGTTTGAACATTCTTTGTGGTTCAGATCTGTCATGTAAACTGTGGATATCAAAATGAATAATGAGAGTTTGTTCTCTTGCCCATAAGTTAAAGTATAAAGCAGAACATTGAAAACTTTAAGGTCTTAAACAAATTCAAGGTTGATTTTACTTAAAATGTGTCATTTTGGAAAAAACATAGGTAAGTATGTGTCTTTAACTTATGTAATTAAGTCAAATTGGTATGATTTTTTTTATTCCTTTAAAATCTTCTTTCAGAATCCTACATTTAAGAAATTACTTGTTTTTCATTATTGTTATTTTTTTCATTGTCCACTATTTTTAAAAAAAAATTTTATTGAATTTATTGGGGTGACATTGGTTAATAAAATTATATAGGTTTTAAGTGTACAGTTCTGTAACACATCATCTGTATATTGTATTGTGTGTTCACCACCCAAAGTCAAGGCTCCTTCTGTCACTATTTCTTCCCCACTTTATCCTTTTCTACCTTTCCCACCCCATTTTCTTCTGGTAATTGCCATACTGTTGTCTGTATCTACAATATGAGGCATTTTTTTATACTTACTCTCTTAACCTTTTTGTCCACTATTTTTGAGATAATGTGTAACCCCTTCTTCCTGAAAAAAAAAAATCCCACTCCCAGCATGCTTTAGAAAGCCAGCATTTTAGTGTAAACAGTTTTATGGAGTAAACTCAGTTTGGTGGATTTTATGTTTTTATTTTTTCCAATGACAGTTCCCAATAGTGCTTTATAGAGTATCCCAAGATAATTTCTTGGGTACATTTCAGAACTTTCTCATCACTTTTCAGTTATTTAAAAAAAAAAAGTCAAAACCAAACTAATTCCACTCCATTGTAAAAATCCAGTCTGAAATATGATTCAGACATATACCTCTCAATTCCTTCTACTAGCATCTAAGTTCTGTGTTGGGGAGGAGAAATATGAGAGATGGCAGGGGTTGCTTTTTGGAGGTGAGGAAGAACTCCTCCCCACAGGACTATACATGATTCTGTTGCTGCTCTGAGGGTCACTGAGGATTTGTTGGTTTCCTCATAACTTTATGCATTTTCAGGGTTGTTTAGCTTCACCTTGGTCCACCACATGACTGTGAGCACCCACACAGGGGGCCCTCATATGTTTCTTTAGTCTGCCTTTGGTCCACATCCCAACCCCCTTCAGAAGCAGCTGTTAGGTACCCCATAGTTCTGGCTTTCTCCTCTCTTTTCTATATCCCTTCCCATTAAGTCAAACATGGAAGTCCTCCTCTGCATCTTCTGATAGATTAGGAAACCTGGAATGGGTAAGAGCTTTCCTTCACCTCCTTCTTAAATTCCTTGGATTATGGTCTCTTTTTGTCCCACTTTCCTTGTTTTAGCCAGCAAGTGCTCCTCCTTCAAAATCTCCAGGAAAGAAACAGGCATGAATCTTGTCATTCAGAAAGCCTCCCAAATATCAAGGGCCACAAGTCTAGTTTTCCCCCAGACTCCTTCATGGGGCTCTCTGCCCTTGGAAGGCAGGCTTTGGATTGGCCTTAAGGTCCCTGACTGTGCAAGCATTCAGTGTGGACTGTGAATCTTTTCTCCTTGCCAGCACTCACATTAGTTTTCCATTGAAACTCTGCCTTCACTTGGCATCTGGTGGGTTTAGAGGAAATATTTTCCTGCCCATGCAGGGCTGAGATGTTAGTTGGGAGTAGCAGAAGTGATTCCCCGACCTTTAAAGATGTCCTCAGGAAAGGCTTTTGGCCTAAATGATTGGAGAGGTCTTTAAATGCATGGAATTTTTATGCCTTTTTGTCATCATTTTTTTAGTCAGAATAATCAAACCAAGACAGCAGAGAAATCTCATTCAACATCTACTATTATAGCCTAAAACGAAAATAAATAATATCCTTCATTCTAATTTGATACTATAATCTACAATGAAAAGAAAAAAAATACAACTTTACCCACAGGATATGGCAAATCAAATATTTTTAGTGTCTAAGATTTTAAGTTAGGGAAGTTTAAAGCATCATTACTTTTTCAAGGTCATTAGAAGTACTTTTAATGAATAATGTCGTTCTGTCTGACTTCCTATTCCAGTATGGCAAGTGTAAGTGGCTATTGGAGTGTTGGAGAGGAGATAGGTCTATTGTTAAATCACTGTTCAGTCAAGAATATAGCTCAGTAACAATGTTTAACTTTTTATTAGAAAGGCTTTGAAGGTACTAAGCAGGATTGGCATTGATTTAAAAAAAATAAACAGACTTCTTTTTAACACCTTTGAAAAACATTAAAAAAATTAGATGTTAAAATGTACTTGTTAATTTTATGTCTCATCATCCTCTTAACAGAGGATTAAATAAAGAAGTATTTTAGGTTCTGGTTTAAATATGAAAGTGGTTTTAAACATTCCCAATGGCTAACGAATATAATGATTATTATTCCCACAGTGAATTCTAATCTGAATTTTTTGTGAGTGACATTTCTGCTATCCATATCCTTCTTGTTAAGAATTCAATAATGGACTAGGTTAATTAGAGACAGGTAATCTTACCTTGTATTAATCATCCTTCTGTCAGAATAAATTAACCTTTTTAGCTCCTATTTTCTGGAATTTCCAACCTCAGTAGACTGTGTTCTCAAGGAATGAGATAGTCTCATAAAATTTTAAGCTCATTTGAATTTGGAAATGCCCATTATTGATAATTATTAAATTTAATAATCACAGAAATTTACTCTGGGATCACTGAAGATAAGCTTAATTCAGGCACCTCACAGGTTTGTTTGTTCTTAGCCATGTGATCTGGGGAAATTCAGTTATCATCTGAGTCTTCATTTCCTGATTTATAGAATAGAAATAACTATGTGCATCTCAAATTGTGGAAATCAAATGGGACAACACCTACAGTGGATTCTGAAATTCACTGCTGACATGTTCTGGATTTTTAGTATTGTGAGTATTTTGAAATATGATCAAGTTGGGAGACTACTTTTTCCACTGTTGGTGTTAACTATTCCCTAATATCACGGATTCCTTTCCCCAGGCTTCCCTATATCCATGGCAAGGACAAAAAATAATGGCAAAATGTCATGTGAGATAGTATCCTGATCAGTTGGAGGTTCCCGTAATTGTTTTTGTGCACGTGTGGCCAGGGAGCAGATATGTCAGTCTATCAAAGGATAGAGCTCATCAGGCCAGCCACAGTGGAGATTTATGATATCCTGGAAAAACAAACTGAAAAACTACTATGCATTGAAATAAATCTATTAACAATGTAAATATAAGTTCATCTACTTTTGAAAGGCAAAATATTGTGGCAAATTTCATCAGAGGTAATTTGAGAAATATTCAAACATTTGGCTTTAATTAGAAAGGTAGGAAAATATATGAGAAGTATATTCAATTTGGGTGGTGTTTGTTTGCCCCTCTCATGAGTGTGAGCCAAAAATCCTCAGTTTTGACTAGTTCTGCAGTGATTCTCTAAATTTTGGCAGAGCCTTTGGCCTATTTAGAGATAGATTTAGCTTAATTCAGTGTTAGGTAAGAGAGATGGGAGGGGGCCCATGAGTATCAGTACCCACCAAAATAAAGAGTGGGAAGGAGACCGTCACTGGCTGGGTAATGCTGGGTTGTGTAGAAAGAGGAACACCACTAGTGAGGGAGTAAATGAGTACTTCAGGAGGTGGAGGAAATCCCACTTATCAGAGTTTCTCTTAGGCAAAGAATGTAGGTATTTGGAAACATACTTCAGTAAAGTGCTTAAGTGAAGTTGTCAGATGTCCCCTCAACTTCCCTCCATTAGGTAGAGTTGCCCTCCATTTAAGACCCTTGTTTTGGTGGTTTCCCTAAGGAGCTGGTAAGTAGGTTTGGAGGTAGAATTTAGGAGAGGGCCAAGGTCTGGGGTATTCATGAGGAGAATGGAATAAGAGTTCCTGGGGTGTGCTAGGAAGGGTAAGGAGCCAGTTTGGCAGACCCTTTAGAGAGGGAGGAGAAGGAATAGCCACTTGGTTAAGGAGTGATTTTAAAGCATAAAAATAGCAGGGAGGTGGAGAGGGTCGGGGGGGTGGGCTGGGATGGGAGTAAAAGGCAGAATACTGTACTTGAACAACAATTAAAATTTAAAAAAATCAAAATAAAAATATTAAATGAAGGATTTTTAAAATTAAGGTTTTGAATAGATGATAGGGATAATATTTCAACAGAAGCATAAAAGCATGGACCATAAAGTTGCCTTAACATCCTGTTATTGTTTTCTTATGTACCCTTTTAGATTTCTTCATGCTCATGTAAGTAGTATGAGTATTGATTTTTATTTTGTTCCTCTGTGTTGTTCAGACCAAATTTAACATATTACATACATTGTTCTGTACCTTGTTTTTCATTGTATTTTGAAGATCTTTTCTGTCACTACATTGAGAGCTTTCTATTGAATAATTCTTTTTCATTGCCCCACTGTGTTCCATTTTATTGATGTACCCTAATTAATTCAACCTATTGTGGACATTGGGTTATTTTTGATTATTTGCATTTACAGCATTATAATGAGTAAATTTATACAAAGCTTGTTTTGCTTTAGTGCGTGCATATTCATAGAATAAATTCTCAGTAGTGGTATTGTTGGGCATGATACATACAGTTGTAAGATTAATAGACATTTCCTATCTGAGGAGTTGTACCCATTTATACTCCCAACACAGAGGGAGAAAGGAAGAGAGGCGAAAGAGGGAGAGAGAATTAGAAAAGAGGAAGGGGGAGAGAGAGAAAGGGAGAGAAGCTCACACACATGTACCAGTGCACCCACACCCATGCCCACACCTACCACAATTCATTGCTTACCTTATTTATTTTTCTCTTCTGGTTCATCTGTTGTTTGCAGAGACTATTTTTCATCTGCATGTTCCTCAACTGTTATGCCCTGTTTGAGTTGCTCCTGGTGGGATGAGACGGTGTGGTGCTTTTGGAGCCGTATCTGTTTTATCAAGTCCTGCCTC